GCTGGGAGTAGATGGGGAGTTTGGGGAGCACTCACTGGCAGCAAACCTGGAGAGTTCTCATAGTTGGGTGAGGAGGAAGCAAAAGCAGAAGGCAAAGCCTTAGCAATTCCTGTAATCCATGCAGGATAAAGGGGCACTCATCTGCATTGGTGCCAGCATGAACCCATGATGAGCAAGGACCAGCTACAACTCCACTGTTCCCACTCTGTTGCCTCAAGGAGCTGGGAAACAACCCTGGGAAGAAGACAGGGGGAAAAGCATTCAACAGAGAAAACCCTCAGAGGATGGGTTTTCCCTGAACTGGGATTAAGTTTTGTTCCATGAGGGAGATAGGGGGCTGGGGATAGAAATTAACTGAGAAAGATATAAGGAAACTAAACATTGTTAGCACACCTGAGCAGGTCATCAGCTACTGTGTTGTAAACTGTTTTTCCATTTGCTGGTTCGCTCCTCAAATGGCCAGAATCCTGGAACTTCATCCTGTTTTCCCTGTGTGTGACAGGAGTCCAAGCACTTGGACCATCCTTTGCTGTTTCCCCAGGTGCATTAGCACAGAGCTGGATCAGAAGTGCAGCAGCAGGAACTCCAACCAGTGCTCATGTAAGATGCAGGCTGTGTGACTATGCCCAGACCCTGTAACCTTTTTTTTTTTTTCCTTTGAGATAAAGCACATCCATTAAAAAAACAAAAAAAAAAAACAAAAAAAAAAAAACAAAACAAAACTTTAGAAAACATTTTAGAATGGAAGGGCATTTATAAAAAACATTGTGAAAATAGCAGAGGATTTCTATACACTCCCACACAGTCCACCCTGTTGTCAGCATCTTTTCTTAGTTGGGAATATTTCTCACTATTAAGGAAGCAGCAATTGTCACTAACAAATCCATAATACTACTCAGATTTTCTGTTTTTACCTCATGTATTTTTTGGTTCCAGGATCACATCAAGGAACCACTTTTATATATATATATATATATATATATATATATATATATATACAGAAGATCAGTTTAGTATACATTAAGTAAAGATTTCAACAGTTTGCACCCACATAGAAACACAAAGTGGAAAATACTGTTTGAGTACTCGTTATAGCATTAAATCACAATGTACAGCACATTAAGGACAGAGATCCTACATGAGGAGTAAGTGCACAGTGACTCCTGTTGTTGACTTTACAAATTGACACTCATCAAGGAACCATTTTGCAATTAGTTGCCGTGTCTCTTGGGGATCCACTTGGCTTGGGTAGTTTCCCAGACTCTCCTTATTTTTGATGACCTTGACAGTTTGAGGGAGTACTGGTCAGGTAATTTGTTGAATGTCTTTCAACTGGGATTCATCTGATGTCTTTCTCATAATGGGACTGAAGTTACAGTTTGGGAGAGGTAAGATGGCTTTGCTGGTGCATCTCATCAAGTGAACACACTACTAAATGATCCACCACTGTTTCTGATGTTCCCTGTGGCCACCAGGTTGAAGCAGTGCTTGGCAGGTTTCTCCAGGGGTTACTATGTCAGGCCCCAGTTAAGCGGATGGAGGTTCCCTTCCATCTCCTTGAGAGAAAAACGTCTGTATCTATTATTCAGAATTCTGCATGGGTGTTTCATCTCTTTTCTCCATTTAATAATTTATTGATATCAGTATTGGACTTGTGGGTATTTTTATTTTATAATTTCAGTTATAATCAAATAGTGCTTTATTTATTTTCTTGCTCCATTTGTTCCAGTTTTGGACTTTGGGAGCATTGGCGATGGGTTCCTGTATGCCTTTTTTTTTTTTTTGACAGGCAGAGTAGACAGTGAGAGAGAGAGACAGAGAGAAAGGTCTTCCTTTGCCGTTGGTTCACCCTCCAATGGCCGCCGCGGCCGGCGCACCGCGCTGATCCGATGGCAGGAGCCAGGAGCCAGGTGCTTTTCCTGGTCTCCCATGGGGTGCAGGGCCCAAGCACCTGGGCCATCCTCCACTGCACTCCCTGGCCACAGCAGAGAGCTGGCCTGGAAGAGGGGCAACCGGGACAGAATCCGGCGCCCCCACCGGGACTAGAACCTGGTGTGCCGGCGCCGCTAGGCGGAGGATTAGCCTAGTGAGCCGCGGCGCCGGCCCTCCTGTATGCCTTTGACACACTCTCATCATGGTTGTGATTGTTTTTTAAAATTATTTTTTAAAGGGCTTATTTTATTTGAAAGGCAGAGTTACAGAGAGAGGGGGAGACTGAGAGAGAAAGATCTTACATCTACTTGGTCAATCCCCAAATGGTTGCAAAGGCTGGGATAGGTCAGATAGAAACCAGGAGCCAAGAACTCCATTCTGATCTGTGGCTGGCAGGGGTCCAAGTACTTGGGCCGTCTTCTGCAGCTTTTCCTGGAGCATTAGCAGGGAGTTAGATCGGAAGCGGAATAGCCGGGACTCCAACCAGCATTCATATGGCATGAATGGTCCCTGCCGGGCCACAATGCAGGTCCTATTGTTGCTTTAAAAAAAAAAAGTGGGGGTGGGGGAGAGGCACTTCCTTATCTTCTGGCACCACAGGATGCTTTAGCTTCTGATTAAATCTTTCCGGTCCCAGTCCTAGAATCAGCCATTTCCCCAAGAAGCCCTGATTTCTTTTATTGGAGAATGGTATTTAAAACATGCGAGCGCTGGGCACGTTTGCCGCCACCCGGGCTGCTTCTACAGTGTACTGGCTGACACAGCAAGGAGACGGATGTATTTGTTCTGCCCTGCGTCGACACACACACACACACACACCCACCCCCATAAATCTGCTCAAGTACCCACCTGCAAGTGGCTAAGCCAGACGGGAGCTGGTATAATGTCTTCACCTCTCATCCAGTAGTACCACGTGGCTGGCTCTAGCCTCCTCCCCTTGCTCCTCTGTAACCTGCCACTCAACAGTGACAGGCGTGCCGGCGACCGTCCACCAACCTCTTATTTAATTGTTCGCATCCAGGCTACACATATTTTCTTCTACATCTCCGGTTCCTCTGCGTTTGCTCTTTAACCTCTGACCCCTCCCCCCTCCGGCACTCGGCCGTCGCCAGGGCACAGGCGCCTTGCACCTGCACGTTAGAGCAAGGACTGGTCTGACCTGGGTTTTCGTTACGGTCCCCATCCTTTCCCCTCACACATGTGGCGGGGTCAGGACTGGGGAGTTGGAAGTCCGAGAGGAGTCTCGTTTGACTGCCGAGGGGACTGGACAGATCGCCCACGTCGACGACCCCTCGGCTACCTCGGCGACTATTGCGGAGCCAGTGCCCGCGAGGCGCCGGAGCTGGTCCCCTCAGCGCTGTCCGGGCCAGTCACCCGCGGGCACGCCATCGAGAAGGGAATGGCCCCGGCGCTCGCGCCCAACTGGGGCGCCATGCGAGAACGGCCAGTCAGAGCTCTCCGGCCGCTTTCCGGCCCGGAGCTGCCCGGCTGACAGCACCGCCAGGCTGCGCACTCCGCGGCTGCCCGCCGGCCCCGCCCCTCCAGCAGGCCCCGCCCACCCGCCGAACCCATGCTCGGCCCCTGACGAGGCTCGCCGGAAATTCCCGAAGCCCCTCTTTTTCCTTCCTCTCCTTTCCCTGCTCTCCCTTTTCCTTTCACCCGGGTTCCCTCAGCCGTGATTTACCCCCTCCCCCTCCTTCCTTCCCCATTTGAAATCAAGATGGAGGCTCGTGGCTGCCGCCGGCGTCCGTGATCCCGGAGCTCCCGCCGGCCACGGGCCCCCCGCCTCGCGACTGCGTGTCCGGCGCGGCGCGCGCTGCTGCCCGCGCTCCGGCCGGCGCCGCCGAGGCCGTGGCTCCGCGCCCCCGCCGCGCGGTCGGCTCGCGACTCCCGGGTGGAGTCCTCGTCTATGTGGGCGCGCTCCTCGGGCCGAGCCGTCGCCGCCGCCGCCCGCCGCCGCCCCGGGGCTCTGCGTCCGCGCGCCGGGCGCGGGCAGCTGGGCGCTCGGCGCCGCCAGATCCGGCGCGGAACGGGCGGCGCTCGGCGCTAGGGGCGCGGGGCCTGAGGCGGGCGCGGCCGCGGGCGCTGCCGCAGCCATGAGCGGCAGCAGCGGCGGTGCCGCCGCCCCCGCCGCGTCCTCTGGCCCCGCCGCCGCGGCCAGCGCGGCCGGCTCGGGCTGCGGGGGCGGCGCCGGCGAGGGGGACTGAGGAGGCGGCCAAGGACCTGGCCGACATCGCGGCCTTCTTCCGATCCGGTGAGTGTTACCGCGGCCGGCCGCCTGCCCTGGCGGCGCTGCCCAGCGCGGTAGGCGGCCCCGGGCGCACCCGGTGCCTGCCCGCCCTCCGGGCCCCGCGCGCTCCCGCCCGGGCACTGCACCTTCGCGCCGGGACTCCAGATCCGACCCGCCCGGCGTCCTGCTCGCTGCCCACGCCGCCCCGCTCGCGGGCTCGCTTTCCTCGCTCCCTCCCCAGGTCCTGGGTTAAATCCCCCCTTTTCTGCCGGCGGCGGCGGCAGCTCCGCGAGCTGGGGCGCCGGCTCTTTGTCTCTTTTTGCGGGAGGGCCAGGGAGACGGCGGCGTGGACGGCGTGGGCGGAGGCCCCTGCCCTGGGGCCGAGCAGACCCGGTCAGGGTCACTCCGGGTCCGGGAAACCGGCGCTCCTCTGTGCGTGTGTCTGGCGAATTCAACCGGGTTCTCGTGCTCGGTCCTTGAGCCTGTCATCCCCGGCCTCAATCTACCCTTCTGTGAAATGGGGCAGCCGTGGTACCCCGTCACCTAGGGAGGGCGTCAGGGGGCTTGGTGAGCCATTGTCTCGGGGGCGGCCCGGGAGAGGCATGTGGGGCTTCGGGGGCCGAGGCTCGCGCGGCCCTGCGTGGGTGGCCCCGGGTCCGCCCAGGCGAGGAGGGGTGGCCGCGGGAGAGGCGAGCGCCGTGACCGGCTGCGGGAGGGGCGTGGGTGTGCGGCGCAGGGGGCGTGACAGGGCGTCCCCGGGATCCCGGCGGCGGCGCCGCCTCCAGCCCAGCGCAGATCCCGCGCGAGCGGGGCCCGCGGCCCCGCGCCCCCGCGCCCAGCCCCGTCTGCTCGCGCGTGCGGGCGTTTGCCGAGCGGCGGGAGGCGGCCGAGCTGTCCGCGGCCCGGAGCGCAGTCTCCGGCGGGGCGGGGAGGATGCAGAGCCGGCGCTGGAGAGCAGAGGAGGGCGCGCCAGGTCGGTACCGGGCGGTGCGGGGTGCTGGCCTTGGTCCCCGTAAGCGCGGCCGGGTCGGGGATCCCGAGGAGCCGGGAGGCGCGGGGGAGGTCGGCGGCTCGCGTTTCTTTCTCCGTGGCTTCTTTCAGAACCAGAGCTTAAGATCTGGGGAGAACCTCTCGGCACCCGGGGTGGCGAGGAGCAGCCGCAGGGGAGGGCAGTGTCGGAGGCAGAAGTTGCTGTGCGGGTGAAACCTAGTTCAGCGCTGGCTGCCCTGTCTTCTGGGTCTGCCAGGCGGGGTTATTTTCGACTCAGTTTTAACAGGTTGGTTGTGCCTAGGAGTGACACTCTTGGCTCTGCAGTGTCAGTTCAGGGTTAATAGACTTACCAGTGCTCCTCCGGAGAGGTCCCCGCAGAAAGCAAAGGTTTAGGACACCCTGGGCTCCTTGGAAGGAAAGCCTCTTTTTGCGTGTGTGCGACCAGCCTGGTAAGGCAACCCCGTCTTACCTCTTATAGCAGAACTGGGACGTATTTCCTTCATGCCCTGAAGCTAAAGTCTAGCCTGTCTCCTTTCTGTCTCTACCACCTGTCACAGAATAATAGAATCCGTGCAGAATTGAACTCCACTCTGTCAGAAAGGCTGTTGTGCCCCGGGAATGGAATTTTTGGTGCTCGTGAGACCGATTTTACCGATTTTATTCCAGCTCTATTATGCATACTACAGAATTTGCTTCCTTTTCTGCCAAGCGCCCCAGAAGACATCAGGTCGAACTGGACTGGCACAGAAAACTTGTTCCCTGTCTAGCGGCTCTTGAGGGGTTAGCATTTGCTCTTTCTTTGCCTAGGCCTGGCTGTACCTGTCCGCCCAGGCTCCTGTTAGCGTTCAGTTTGAGGCAGAACCAGGTAATGCTGCTCCCTGGCTTGGTGCTGACTTCACAGACTTCCCCTTTAGTTGTTTGATTTGGAACCAGGAGTGGGGCAGCCAGGTTTTTGGTAGGATCAGTTGCAGCGGCCCATCCCAGGGATAGAATGGAATCTCTTTTAAAAGTGCTTCTCCTGGGATGGGCTTGGGGCACAGAGGGTTCAACCACTGCCCAGACACCTGCATCCCCTGTCAGAGTGCTGATCGAGGCCCAGCCACCCTGCACTTTTGATCCAGCTTCTTGCTGATGGACCTGGGAAAGAAGTGCTGATGGCTCAAGTACTTGGGTTCCTGACACCCACCTGGGATACCCATTTGGCTTTCCTGGCTCCTGAGTTTGGCCTGGTCCAGGTGCAACTGTTGGAGGGTATTTGGGGAGCGAACAAGTGGATGGAAGTTCTCACTCTGCCTCTGCTCTCTCTCTGTCACTCTTTCAAATATATCTTAATTTTTTTTCCACTGCTCTGAATTCCTGTCCTAGATCTTGCTTCTAGCATCTAGGCCAGTGGTATCTAGCAGAGGGTGGAGAGGGGCTTTTCCCTTGGTGGGGTGTGGTGGGGAGGGGTTTGCACAGTCAGGACCAATCAATCAGGGGGACCCTGGGTGGGGAGTTCATCTGTGAGGGAAGCAACCAAAGGGACCCTCCTGGGCACTTTAGATTGAATGTGATGGCTGAGGAGAATGAAGCAACCAAATCTGTCCTACAGTCTTTTCTAAGATGTGGAAATGTGGAAAATAGGTTCTCTTTGATCAGGGTGTAAACATTTTTCCGGAGTGTTTTTAAACTAAGATGACATAGACAAAGGCTTTTTGATGGTTTTCTTTCTCTTCTCAGCTCTGACACCATGTTTGCTTGTCTGTCTTATTTTCTTCTTGTTATCCTTCTCATGGCTTCTGTAATCAACTTTATGTTCCTAGCCACAGGTTGAAAACTGGTACCCATGGTTGAATGAAAGGAAAAAAAAATTTGGCTTGTTAAAACTTTTTAGCAATTACAGCAGTTCAGAAGTAGAATGAGCTGCTGTGGATTTCTCCATTACTGCAGGTGTTCAAGGAGAGGCACTGCCCCTTGCCAAGGTTTGGAGTTGGTCGCTGGGGACTGAACACCTTCCCTGGAGAGGGGTCAAGAAGGTAGATGGTACTGGGGAATACTTCCCTTTCACTCTGCACTTTATTCCCCACTTTTCTTTGAATAGGTTAGGGCTCCGGAGCCATGGCTGCCCTTCTGAGGGCTCTGCGGTGTCCACCTTGCTCAAGGTCTCACCCTGTATGCTGTTGTCTCATTTTCCCCCAGGACCTCTGCACAGAAGCTCCCTATTCATTTCGATGATCCTGAACACCCATATACAGACCTGGAGCATAGCAGGCAGGCCAATTTGTGTTCAAGTGGCTGGAATTGAAATGTGTGTGACTGTGTGTTAAAGGGCAGCTAAGAGATTTTTTCTGCAAGTGTTAGTGAATTTTAGACTTCACTTTTCTCCTTTGTACAGAGCTCAGCACTGGAAAAGAGAAAGTAAATTTCTAGTTTTCAAAGCCAAAGGAGAAAAAAGGGAGAATCACAGAAATGAGCTAGTCCAGTTTTCTCAGTTTTATGGATGAGGAATCAGATTTCTAGGGAGGTTCCATTACTTACCCCCCCATCCTCACCCCCCCACCCCACCCCTGGAATGGGACCCAGGTAGAGGTGGGGTCAGGGCCAGGAAGCTTGCCCTGGATGCTCTTTCTCAGATGACTCTCATGGCCAGGATGTTGCTTACATTAGTTCTCAGCCCCACTGGGACCAATCACTTTTATTGCCAATCTATTTTGGGGCCCTGTTCTTGTGGCAATAAATCGTTCTTTCAGAGCTCCCTATTTAACCTTGCAGCCATGTGGGGGGAGGGGTGCTTACATAAATGCATTATTTTTAACCTGCCTGGCATGCGTTAGGTTGGCGTTAAATGAATGTGGAGAATAAAGGTTTATGCTTGTTCCGGAGCCATGATCTGCCATGCTGGGTTTCTTTCGTCATTAAATCTCGTTCTGGACTCGTGGCCACAAGCCCCTCTCTTTCCAAGCAATGTTGAAGAACATGGAGTCTGTTGCTTGGTGAGGGAGCGGCTTGGGACCTTCCTATGTGTTGATGTGAGGCTTTCCACCTGGAGTGCAAGGGGAGCTTTTCTTGCTGTTTGTGTTTCCATACGACTTAGGCGTGGGCCCCCAAGCTCACCATGCTATCTGTATCTGTTGCAGTCGGGACCTGGCGGCTCTGGACATTGTGAATACCAATAATAATGGCTGTGAGGTGTGTCTTCATTACCTTTGGTATTTTGAAAAGGGAGGCTGGAGAAAATGTGGTTTGTTGGTGAATGTAGGCTTCTCCTTCTTAGGTGGTACAGTCACACTCAGTTTTAGAGAAAAGCCAGATTTCTCAAACAACTCCTGTAAGTGACATTCAAAAAACCAAAGAATAATAGGAAAGTAATCATTGTAAACTGTCTTGACTGATGTAGGATATTGTATTTTCCTTTTTGCAGCTTAGCAATCTGGGACTCAAATGGAGATTTGTATGAGGCTATTTTAACTCTTTAAATAACTAACCCAGGATTTAAATGAGGTCAGTGCTGGGGTTCAAAATGGAGCATGTTTTAGATATGTTCTTGAAATGGATGTTAACAATATGTCATTAGGATGGTCTTTTTAGGCATTTTAAATGTGATAGATTTGGGATCTGTTCATAACTGAAAGTGAAAGATGTTTTGGAGCTTTATAATCAAAATAGGTTATATCTGATATCTATTTGATGACTCCTCTGAGAAAGTAAGTTTTAATCTCACATCCTTGGCAGAATTCCAGAGAAAAGTCAAACTCCTAATCAACAGCCACACTTGACCGCGTGTAAAATCACTTGTGTTGATGTGAATGAGCTGTGCTTTACTATAAAAAGAAGTTCCATCACCACTCTCTCCTCAGTTCTATAATGAATTAGGTTTGATTTCCTTAAGTGCATTGTCTTGACACATTTTTAATAGTGCCATTGGCAGGAGGTGGTAGCTACTGCATGGAAGTGGGGCAGTGGGTTTAGTGACTGTCAACTGGTCTCTGGTGGAAGGCAGTGGTCTATACTGACCACTTTTCCCTCATTTCTTCCTCTTCCAAGTTTCTGGTCCCGTAGGCTTAGGTGAACTGTTAGGGGTGATTCTGCATGGATATGCTGTGTTCCTTATCTTCTCACCCCCATTTAAGCTGATGGGGCCGCAATGGGAGCAAGGTATAAGCAGGTGTACATGGTGCAGCCACAGAGCTCTCTGGTCCTGTTCCAGATTCTGTTGACAGCTCCTCAGCAGGGCGGTGGGAAAGGGAATGAGCAGGCCCTGGGAGACTTCTCAGTGACCCTCGCATTTCTGACAGCAGTGTCATTCAGCTGGAGCCGTTCTGGGAATGCTCCCTGCTGAACCTCTGAACTGGGGGACAAGGAGCACACAGGAGTGGAAAAGGCCCTGGGAGGCCTTCTTGCTCCCCTGCCCTGTGCCTCCAGTACTGACTAGGGCTCCTCACTCACCCCAGGGTCTAGCCTCCGGAATTTAAAAGAAGTGGGGATTTCTGTCTGGTCTTCCCAGTGTGGTCTCCTAGCTTGTTGTGGATATTAAGCCTCACAGACAGACATGCTTGTTTATTGGAAATCTTGCTTTCACATTTAATGGTTAGTAAGTGCCTGATTACTGGTTTTCACTTCTTATTCACCAATGGAAACAATTTCCTTACTGAATAGTTGTGTTGTTACTTTAATTTCCTCTTTTTTGTTTCTTCTCCTTGTAAGGAAGTCCCTTGAAACCCAACTTTTAACAACCACTTGTCCCCTGGGAAAAATTATCTGTCAGTGAGGGATACAAAGTATGTGCAGAGGTGGGGGGAGTTGAGCTGCAGGAGTGGGAGGGTTCCTGAGGTTTCTCCCTGGGGCACCTGGGACGCCTTGGTAGTGAGCCGCCTATTTGGTCTGATGGCAGGTGTGCTATGGAAATGTAACACCTGCTTTTGATGATAAATGTACTTGAGTTTTAGATTCTTATTTTTATTTTAGTGAGCCACGTGTCTGTTCTTGCTGGTGAAGGTGAGGGAA